AATCCAGTACAGAACTGAAACAAAGCATAAATATTCAAATGTGACCCACCAAAGGGTGCAGGAACTACCCAGCAGGAAGACACTTTCAGCAACACACAATACACAGCAGTATAGGCCACAATTCCTATCCCTTTAGCAAAGCATTATTCTGAACCATTTCCTTAAAATACAGCCCTATTATCTGTGTTAAAAAGCCTTCCTTAAATAATTTAGCTTTGCATAATTTGGGATCTCTAGTTATTAGCAGCAGATCTTCCATCTGAAATTCAACTTGTCCTATTGTCAGAGTTGGTGTGGGGCAGGGCTCCTGCACTATTAATCACAACAGCAGACGTGTATCTTGCTCAGAGAGAGCAGCTTTCCTGGGGCTTCCACTGGTCTGCCATCAAGGCACGGATCAGATCCAAACCAGCTTAGCTTCCATAGTGTTGCAGCACCTAGTTTTCTCCAGATCACTGGAAGCATGAAGAGGATTTCAGCCAGGGCAGTTGCTTCTGGAACTGCAGCACAAGTACAGAAGAACCTGCTTTGTTTTATCTATGAAACACAGGATTCCAGTCCCAGTACTGAATGTGGAAGCCCTGCACCAGAATAACCAATGCTATATTTTGACACTAACTACTCGATTCTATGCATATTGATTGAAAAATAAACCCCACTGAGGATGTCTGTATTGGCAGATGCTGTATCTGGCTGCTTCAGAGGAAGAGAACATAAGAACATAAGAAACACACAGTTGGATCAGACCAATGGTCCATCTTGTCTAGCATCCTGCCTCACACAGTGGCCAACCAGTTCCTCTGGACAGCCAACAATAGGGCATAAAGTCCAAGGCCTTCCCCTAATGTCGCCTCCTGGCTCTGGGATCCAGAGGCTTAGTGCAACCACAAGTCCTTTGGCCTAGCTTGGACCTACAGTCTTTTGACTCCTCCAGCGGCCATTCTGTCTATTTGACATGTATTTTCCCTGTCTATCTGTTGCATCTTAATCCTGTTTCCTCCGTGGGACTCAGGGCAGCATACATTATTCTCTCTCCCTCATTTTAACCTCACAACAACCCTGAAAGTATGTGACCAGCCCAGTCATCAGGCCAATTTCATGGTAGAGTGAAGTCTTCTTAAGCCCTGGTTTCTCAGGTCTCTCACTCTCACCACTACAACACACTGGCTCCTTGCTAGAGAATATGATGCAACAGGACCACAGAAGAGTCTCTAGCTGTCCAGCATTACTGTCCTGAATCTCAGAATGGCCTTAATGTCTGTGTGGTTTCAAACCATGCCTCCTGCTATTCTAGTCAGCCACCACACACAAACACCACAAACACTGATTGCTGCATTTTCTGTGTATTTGTGGACCCTTGGTCACAGAAGATCGTCTACATTATAGTCTATGCTGCCCTTCTGTACACAGAGCTCAGAAATAAATTCATTTTAAAAGATTGTAAAAGATATAAATTTGTTTCCAGTGGTGGAGAAACTAATTTTCTTTTTCTCTGATTCAGACCGGTAGGTTTCTTATAAAGTGGCAGAGTTTCCCTTGGCGCTGCAGCCAAGAAAAAATGGGTAGAGCTCTGTCTAAAGGCTGAAATACTTTATTTGTACATACGGAACGTGCTTATTTGTTTTTAAGGTGTTTTTATGTGCTGTAAACATTGTTATTGTTTTTAATGTAGTTTGTCTGTGGTACCTTTTGTGCATTCTGACTGTAAAGGCCTTTGACTCTGTGCAATAAATGCTACCTTGCACTTTGCTGTGTGTAAATTTGACCAAGCTAATGGCTCGGTGGGTAAGAGGCCTGAGATGGGAAAGAGGCTTGAAATGTGTTCGAGTTCCACTTTGAGGTGACCCCTACAAGAAAAAGGATTTCTAGAAAGAGGAAGAGCACCGGCATTACATGATGAGGGTGCCATGTTCAGTCCCTGGCATCTTCAGCTAAAGGATGGCAGGTAGCAGGTAATGGAAATGGCTCTTCTCTGCCCAAGACCCTGGAGAGCTATTGCCAGTAATACTGAGCTAGGTGGACCAGTGGTGTGACTCCGCATCGGGTGTCTTATGGAACAGCTGTACTGTTTCTGTTGCTAGCTTTTAGCAGTTGTGTAACAGGAACCTCTCTTCTTGTGCACTATGCACATTGATGATGACACATAAATACAAACTGTGCTGTACTTCTTTGAAAAATATTACACCGGAGTCCAAAGCCTCCCTCTGTTTTGATCTCCCCAAAATCTGGTTCCTCTACATAGTTGGGCACGCCCGAGCCTGTTGTTTTCGATGGCTGTGGGCATGCCTGAGTCTGACTACACAAAGGATCAGACTGTGCTGTGGGCAGCCTTTAACAACTAACTTTATTTCATTCTCCGCTCCTTACCCATAAAATGGGAACGCTAATTATCTCACATGACTCTAACTGAAAGACCTGCTTGCAAAGATGGCTGAATCACGAACCATTAACAAACTAAGCAAAGCACACATGGCCCTGTGTCACATGCTCATAAAAACTCTCAAGGGATGCTCCCTATTGTGACAATGGAAGTCAAAGATGAACTTCTGCGTAAACTTTCAGAGCTTTTTTGAGTAATTAAATTTATGTCAATAAGACTGTTTTGGGATAGGTAGGTGTATATAGTGCTACCTGTCAGGCTACCTAGTTCAGTATTATGTACTGTGACTGGCAGTGCCTCTCCGAGGCAGGTCTTGGCTAACTACTGCTTTCTGTAGAGATAAATTACAGATGCCAACAGACGGAAGGGGGAACTGTGATGGACAGAAGGCTGTCCCACCCCTGAAGGAGAAATCAGGCTTTTACCTTTTAGCCACTAGGTTGGATCCTAACACCCACCCACACCAGCCTAGCCTTTCCCAAGAGTCGGACTAAACGGCACCAGGTCTGCTCATTGCCAGAGATAGGCCTATCCACTGCATACTCTGTTCTCTTTCAGCAGTAGAGCCAAACTGCTCTGCCACACTACCAAGCACAGAGCTCCAGATAAGTCAAAAGAGAGATCTGGCTGGGGCTCATTAATTTAGAGAGTAGTTTCAATTTTTTAAATACTTCCAAGGATAACCAGGCTTTTACTGACTAGCCACTAGATTGGGTCCTCTCTCTCACACAGGATCCCGTCCACACCAGCCTGCCCTTTCCTAAAAGTCAGACTAAATGGCACCAGGTCTGCTCATTGCCAGAGACAGGCCTAACCACTGGGCACTCTATTCTCTCTCAGAAATAAGAGCCAAAACACTCTGCCACACAACCACACAGAGTGCCCTTCATTTTGTTTGCTCTTCTCCTGAGCCAGAAGGGAGCTCTCCTTGCTCTCTCCCAGAGGCAGAACTGAACTCAACCCCTGCTGTGCTTCCCTCCAACATCCCACCCCCTTTTCAAAGGTGATTGGATTTTGTTGTCGCACTTCTATAGGCTCCAGTGGCTGTTTATGCCCAGGACCTGTGCCAGTTCTACTTGTGCATCACAAAATTGGCCTCACAGCAATGAACCCAAAGGCTATACACTTGCTACCTTTAGAATACCTGGTAACTGAAGGGAAGGTTTACAGTTTAAAATAAACCTGGTTCCCCCAAAAGCAAAGTAGGCTGTGTGGGTCCCCCCAGTTGACAGAAACAGCCTGTGACAGGAACCTTCTGTAGGCAGCGCACCTGCATGCGTGATCCATGTGCATTGTACACTTGATTTTGTATTTTTCGTGTTGTGGTCCACTCATGTACAGCTGAGCATGTGATTTAAACCCCACATTTATTCAGGTACTGGTCCCAGGTTTCATTTGTAAAATGAACACACGTTGGCTTTTTCTTACAAACAGATGTATGCTAATAGCATTCAGTTCTCACATCTGTTTGTGAACTCTTTTATTATGCTGTAAGCTAACTTGCTGCTACTCACAGGTCTTACCAATTGCCCTCATCCAGTGTTAGCTATATTTATTGCTCTGTTACTTATGCATCTTGACTCTAATTAGCCCTTCCTGGCTGACCCTCCTCAACCTCTACCTATATGTAATGGTTGGTGACTTCTGTTTCAGTGTACCTGAAGAAGTATACATGCACACAAAAGCTTATACCCAGAACAAAACTTTTTGGTTTTAAAGGTGCCACTGGACTCAAACTTTGTTCAAGATGTACGTGCATCCACTGTAACTTGTGCACAGGGCTAGTGTTTCCCCTCTGGTCGACCTCCTGATGGCACCTGGGTTTTGGCCACTGTGTGACAGAGTGTTGGACTGGATGGGCCATTGGCCTGATCCAACATGGCTTCTCTTATGTTCACAAACAGACTTCAAAGGTAGAAAACGCTGGATTAGAATCTATTAACAAGTTCTAGGTTTTAACTGTGACCTAGAATTCCTCACTCACCATAGGTGGTATCTTGCGTATCTCACCCTATAATTACTTAAGCTATACCTCTGTAAATTCATAAGGTCTCTTATTTTGCCATAGATTTTGTATTATTCCTACTTAACCTATTTTAACTATACCGTTTCCCCGAAAATAAGACACTGTCTTATATTTATTTTTTCTCCAGAAGACACACTAGGGCTTATACCACAAATGCATAGAAATCCTGCTAGGGCTTATTTTTGGGGTAGGTCTTATTTTCGGGGAAACAGGGTAGTTGGGAGTGCCCTGTGGGGCCGCCCCCCCTTTCGGATCCTGTTTTAAACCGCCCCCTCTTTGAAACTTCCACCCACCCTCCGCCTTTCTGCGTCATTGTAACAGATGGACACCTCATGGATCTCTTGAAAGGAGCTCTGACTCATGAAGGCTGATTCTGGGATTCATTTTGCTAGTCTTCAAACGACCGTTTCCGTTTAAAAACCACCACCGAATCCACGAAGGCTTCAGTCCCTCCTGGCCGCCTCGATGTCACGTGACGCACGCGAAGCCGCTATCTTTCCTTTCGGCTCCTAACGGTGACCTCTGCCTAGCCGCTCGCCCCGGCTTCTCTCTATGGTAGCTCGCTGTGGGGGAGCTTCCGCTGGGAACCGGAAGTGGTCTTGAGGTGCTTTCGGGCGAGCGGTTTTCGTGCCTTCCAGCTCCCGCTCGGAGCGAGACCGGCCGGTGCTGCCTGCGGCGGCTTCTGCCTTCTTTGCTTGTTCTTCCCCCCGCTCCTCCCCTTGTCTCCGTCCGCCCTTCTCCGCTCGGCTGCCCCCCCCTTAACCTTCCCCCATCCCTCTTTGTGCTCCGGGGCCGCCTCTCAGCTGGACGTCACAGGTGAGCGCGGGGGTCTTCGGTTGCCCCCCCCTTCCCGCCATCTTCCTGTCTTGTGAGGGAGAATTACGAGCCTGTAAATCGGTGTCCCCGGGCGGGAGGGTGCGTGGAGAGAGTCCAGGGCGCGGGGAGGAGACGCAGGCACGGAAAGGGGCCACCTTGGGGCTTTTGGAAAGGGAGCAGCTGAGCAGGGCGGTTCGGATTGGGGGCGGGGGGGAGGAAGGCAAGGAATTGGGGAGTGATGATATGCAATAAGTGTCCGAATTGCTTTTCTCTATGTCTTTGTGTTAATTATGTCCCCCCCACACCTTGAATGTCCGTGGGCCAGGCATCTCTCATGAATGTCATACACGCGATCTGAACGGATAGCTGATGTGAAGAAAGTTCGGAGGAGGCAAGCGTGTGTTTGATATAAATCAGTATTGAGCCAGCCGTTTCGGATTAGGCAGGCTTGCTTTCCCGGCAGTCTCCTTCAGAAAAAAACATCCTGGAAGTCTACGGAGGTGTTAATTAATCCTTTAAGGAACTTGTTCCACGAAGAAACGAGAGAACCAGGGTAATTAGTGCAAAGAAAAGTTGCCAATTAGCTTCAAGCCTGCAGGGCTGCCATGCACTTGTAACCTCTGAATACACATTCTTTCTGCTATGGTAATAAAAAAGATCCCTAACTTTCACAGCTTGGGAAATGTGGGGGTGTGTTCTGGAGGCTTTGTGGAGGATTTTTCTGCCTGGTTAAATATTAAAATGAAGAGACTGTTGTTGTGGTTGCTTTTTCTTTCTAAAAATGATAAGCAGCAGCGCTCCACCTTCTGAGGTAGACAGTACGGCATATGATCAATATTATTTTCCCCTTATTGCACATGAGATCTGGGAGATAGTGATTTGCCTAAGACCAGTTGGGGATTTCATGGCAAGTGCAATATCAGACTAGTATCTTCCTGGTTAATTGCTCAGACTCCTACCCAATATGCCACAGTAGCTGTGGCTGGCACTTTGATCTCCTGGTGTGACAATTTTCCTAGAACAAGTTGCTAGTGCTAATTGCTTAAAGGAAGCAGCCTCACCAGTGTATGTAGAATAAATTTTCTCCATGTTGAGAGATGGTACATTCTGGCTATCAGGCTTGGCTTGGCAGCAGCATTGGGCTTGTGAAGGAAATTTACTTAAGCAAGGTTACAATACATTTCAGTTCTGCTTTTTACTGAACAGTGGTAGCGTGCCAGCTCATCATGAATATGTACCTAGGATTTGTTGCATGACTGTATAGGAACCTCTGAGTATAAACGTGAAGCTGCCACATATAAGCCAACATAGTTTTTACATGATTTCTTTACTGACCATGTGATAGAATGTTCAGGATCGGTTTAGTGCTGCTGGGTTGAAATGGCAAGTGATGCTTGTGTTCTCCAGGTTGCAGAACTGACAGGTGTTAATTTAGATTATATATGTGATGTTTTTCTTCTTTGTGTATGAGCAGTTTTCAGTGGGCACCATTGACCATTCTGTCACCGGCAACTTGTGCTTTTTTTTGTACCTGCAGAACCTTCATTGGATAAAGTTCAGTGCTCTGCTTGACACATGCCTTACAGTTTAGAAGCTGGTGGTTTATTTTTGTCATTTATAGTCCATCATTCTTGCACAGACTTAGTCACTGGTGCTTTGAGTAGCTGATTAGTTCTGGGAATTTCGAAAAAGAATACATTTGTATTCATATAAGTGGCTGTCAGCCAGTGACTGAAGTAAGCCTTCTCATCATTTGCTGTTACCAGGAAAGCACAGCAGTACTTTCTAAATCCCTTGTTTATTCTAGTGCAGGTCATTGTGTATTCATATTAATAAGCAGCATCCATTTTTGAAGAACAGCAGAAATGTTGTGGGGGGGGGCATTTATAGAGCCCAGAGGTTAACTTACAAATATGCTCAAGGGACTCTGAAGATCTCCATAAAACCATTTTCAGGATACCTCTTCAGGGCTCCAGTTTCCATTACTTAGGTCTGTTAATGCATTATGAATATTTCATCCCACAAATACCTACCCTGACCCTAACTATCATGGTGGGGCAGAGCTTTCGGAAGCCAGCATAGTCGTCCTCCAATTACAGATGTGGAGGGGGAGTGAACAAAGGTTGTTGGGTGCAGCAGCAGCCAAGCTGAAAGACAGTAAGAGAACTAAGGGTTTGTGTTTTTTTGGGGGAAAACCCACAACTGGAAATCATGATAAAACCTCCAGGCAACCTGGTATCTGGATTTGTTGAGCCTTGGCCTAAGTAGTATTTTTATGTGGTTAATCTTGGCGTTAGTTTTAAAATTCATTGAATTAGCCACAAAGATTGGATAACATGGAAATTATGCATCATTCCCATTACAGAATAGGACTTTTTGTAATGAGGATGCAAATAAGAGAACTTTCATTTTGAGTTGAAGCTTTTATTAGCTAGAACTTTATCCAATGCTTTTAAAGTGACTTGTATCACAATGAGAGGAACTTTGTTAATGGAGTAAGTACACAGGTAAATAGCTGAAGACACGTTAAGTTGATGGAGATCAGATGTAGAGTTAAAGCACATACGCTGGCCAAATGTACTTAATGCTAAGGAGTGCATAATGGTCGTACAGGTAGCTGGTTCTGTGGACAAAGATCAGTAGGGCTTTTGAAAGACCCAGGTGACTAAGTAACATCAGCAGCAATTGAAAATCCAGTCAACAAAATTACTTGTTGAAAATAATAATATAAACCAGCTCGACACATGAGTTGTGATCTAGAGCACATGCATTTTGTGCATGTTCATTACTGCTAGCCCATATAGCAGCCTTCTCCCAATCAGGATTCTCTATTCAATTGTTTATGGAAATCCTGCAGCATGTATGTCATGCATCTTGGAGTACATGTCTGAATGTCATGTACCGTAAGGTACAGACTCATAATTATGGTGATAGGAGGCAGAGGCATGGTCCTTTGTGTCATCTTTCACTTAGTGGATTAGTGTACATTGTTGTAGGACCACTGGTATTACTTAAGGTTCAACCTACTTTCATTCGCTGATAAAACCATTTCAGCTTTGAAGTCGGTTGGCGTGCATCCACCAGTCTTCTCACAACACATCCTATTTCCATCTCTTTCCTCGGTCTGGGGAGCAGGGAAGAAAAGAGATCTGCTCAGTATGAAGAACTGCCTTGCTGTTTGTCTGAATTGTCACCAGTGATGTTAGCCATCAAACTTTCTATCAAGATACTGTAAATTTTGTTTACCTATTTAACAATTTCTACCTCAGATCCAAATAAAAGATGCTTAAATGGAAGTTGTGCTTTCAACTATAAAATTTGTTTCCTGCCCAGTGATGTGGGTTTTCTGGGGAATTTGAATCAGAAACACTTTCTGATTCATATTTAAATAATGTTAACAAAAGAAAGCAAATACACCTTGTGCGAGCCCAGACCATGTGCAGGTACTGGGGGTTTGTCCATGTTTCATACCCCACATTTAGCCCATTCAACATGATTGATTTGCAGCACACCAGCCCAGACAGATTGTATTATTTATTTAGCTTGCATATGTTCTGCCTTTTTCACTGAGACTCAAGGCAGATTTTTCCACAGCACTAGAAAATGTTTGGCCCCACATCATAGAATCGTAGAGTTGGAAGGGACCTCCAGGGTCATCTAGTCCAACGCCTTGCACAATGCAGGAAATTCACAAATACTTCCCCCCACACCACCAGTGACTGCTGTTCCGCACCCAGATAACGACAAAAAATCTCCAGGATCTCCAGCCAAACTGGTCTGAAGAAAAATTGCTTCCTTTAATTTTTTTTTTTAAATTTTTTTTCAACAAGAGAAAAAGAAATAGACAAACACTAGGCTTCTCGGCCTTTTGGCTAAGATCAAGTGAAAAATTGCTTCCTGACCCCAACTTGGCAATCAGCATTTCCCTGGGTGTGTAAGAAAGGGCCACAAGAACTAAGCACTGAGGCAGCCTTTCCTGCCCTCCCTCTCATGATCTGCCTAAGCACACAGAAACAGCATCACTGATCCTACCCTTCCTCCAAGGAACTTGCTGTTCTCAGATGGTTTCTTTTCACCGTAACTTTGTGACATAGGTTTGGCTTGGGTGTGTGCGCCTGTTGGAAAGTCAGTAGGAAAGCTGAGCACTTATATGAGTTCAGGTCTTTCCACCCTGAGTCTGACTGTCTTTTGAGGAGTAAACTGAAATATTGTTTTACCTGCTTAATATGAACATGCTATGGAAATTCATATTAATACTTCAGTGTCAATGTCAAATAGGCTAGGCACACCGGTTCCACTAATTCTCTTAGTGTTGTTTAGATTTATACATTTTGTTTCTGCTGAATAATCACAATTCCTATTTGATATGGGAATGCTCTGTTAACCACTTTTGGAAATGCTGTATAACATTTCACAATGGGAATTCACTGTTCTTCTAAAATATCTCACTAGGACTGTCATAATGATGTCATAATGCTAAATTCATACAGTCAGTACTAAAATTGCAGCATTGTTTGCCTAGTCCCTGCCTGCAGAACACTTTGTCTGCAGTAAAGTCAGTCTTGCACTGTGCCAGCCCTGACTAGTTTTACCTATGGCACCATGTTATGCAGTTATATCACATAATGTGGGAAGGGCTCCCTTAGAAAGTCAGCGGAAGCTATAGATATCAGTCTCACTTTGCCCACTTGCAGCAGAAGACTAATTAATATGAATGATACCATTACAGAAGGTTGTGCTTTTAAATGGTTACAAAAGCCCAATTTTCCTATGTCAGTTTTGTCAGGGTTAATATTTTGCAGCTTTTTAGCAAAGAGAGAGAGGCTATTTTACAAAAATTCAACTTAATTCTTATAATAAATAAAGCAATGCATGTTTTGTTTTTTATTAACTAAATCCCTTTTAAGTGATATCTCAAGCCTACAAGAATCTTCACAGGATTGTAATTTTTGCTGTAATGTGTCATTGGGGATAGGTTTAGGTTTTTTGCCACACTTGTA